GCATGAATCAAGCTGATACAAGTCTTTTTCTTTTCTTAAAGTTTGAACAATCCTGCAGAAAAAAGTCTCTCAACTCACCATTGATGACAGGATTTTCTCACATGTTGTGTTTGAGAATATTTCATCTATGTACATTAAAAATGCATGCAAAATTGGTAAGGAAAATTTACTGTGCAAGCTGTTATACACCTTCCCAAAACCAGGGATTTGTGTGCAAGGATACTGAACAAATACATGGCACCTCTCTGAATATTGTGGCCCCTTGATGGCCCCTTACTTAAAAAAAGTCCTAGATCCACCACTGGTTCATTTTCTGCACTGAATCTTAAATTTCTAACATTTTTGACACTCAGTTGATGTAGACAGTCCATTATGCACATATTGTACATCCACGTAGCAACACAAATGCTGTTCAGAGAAAAAAATCAACAAATTAAGTAAACAGCTTTAGATGTTATTATATGTTTTAAAAACCTGCAAATGGTAAAAATCAGGCCTGCATTTGGCAAAAWTTTTTGTAAACTTAGCCAATTTGTTGCTTTATTTAGTAAGTTTACAGACACTTTTTTTTTTACTTTTTAAGTAAAGTGACAAGGGACAAAATGTAGCAACTTTTTTCTGGTGGTTTTGGGGAATTTTGGCGGCTGCTATTAAAGCATGTTTTCAGTCAAAAGCAGGGGATGCCGAGGGCGCTCATGCAGCATCCCTTCTAGCTGCTGTCAGAGAAGCTGACTGATCCATGGTGCCAAAACACAAGCCGAACTCAGTAACATACCATACTGACATTAAGATCCATTTGTTTCTGTACTACAACTGCACCTTACATCACCTCTAATTTACCTTATTTTATAGTGTTTAGTCTTACTTGAAGATTATATTGACAAAAAATGCAACATGTTAAAGTTTGCCCCTTTGAGCTGTCAGATTTTGAATGATAGAAGTTATTAAAYCTTGAACCTTAAATCTAAAACAAGACATCTGACATTAGACAACTTTAACAAAAACAAAAATAAAAAAGGATCAGGACTTAAAGGCTGTACMCTTTTCACTTCATTTTATTGAGATATTTTTTTTCAAAACATGGTAAAAATACAGGCCTTTGGAGGACTTATTTTTACTGCACAGCTCTAACATTTTAGTATTGTCCACATATGTATAAAAGTACAAGTAAAATACAATGAGCAGAGAATTTCATAGTATAGTATATCAACTCATACATAGCAAAAGTATATYTTTGGTATTTGAGATTGGCAATTTATTCTTTTAACAAAAGCTTGTGTCTTTAATCTTCACAAGTATGTTGTTGAAAAACAGATTTCTTTTGTTTTGTTTTTCTTTTTGTCAGGTTGTGTGTGCTCAGTCGGGGAACACAACACAAGATTTGAAAAGAACCATTTAGCAGATTTAGCTTTCAACATAATTTAAGCAAAATTGCACTTTGGTTCAATCATATACAATTTTACCATGACTTTTGACTGCATTCTTCTTTTTATTATCTTCGTCATTGATGTTTTGATTTCTTGAGTCTGTAAAACATAAATGATTTGGYTCAACATAGGAGGAAGAACTGTGGAAGAAGATAAATTTATGATCCTGGCATTTGGGTATATTTTTGCCTGCATAGTAAATGTGATTAWTATCRGAATAAAATWAATTACCACTAAAGACAGRTGAGCTATGCACGTTTTAAAGTCTTTTATTCTCTCTTGAACTAAGGCTACTTTAGATAAAGCATAGCCAATACAAATATAACTGGACACAATGATAAGAAAAGGAAGCCAAACTGAAAAAATGGAAACACATAAGACATTAAAAACGGGGGAAATAATCATTACATGCAAGTTTGAACATTTGACCATGGTCACAGAAAYAGCTGTTAATAATCACAGACWCACAGAAGGAAAGTCGGGTGAGAAAACCAACTAAAAATAAATGGATTATTATGGCAATAATCCAGGAAAATGCAATCAAGGAAAACATCACTCTGTTGTTAACCATTGTTTGATAGTGCAGAGGAAATATGATGGTCACCAGGCGATCATAAGTGAGGCATTTTGGTGTTTTCGCCCCGTCTCCTGTTCTTGGCACTGCGCTGATCACCCACACCTGCACCAGATTGAACTCATCACCTCCAGGCTTTATAAGGCAGTGCTGGAGTTCATCTCGTTGCTGAAGCATCGCCTCTGTTTGGGTATGAGCTCAGCCTGCTACCTGTGATTCAGCTTTAGAAATAAGCTTACCTGTGTACCTGTTTTCCTGCCTGTTTCCAGAAGCGACCTCCAGCACGCCTGCCTCCTGCCTAAGAAACACGAGCCGCACTCACCTGGGTCTCATGCGCAGCCTGCCACATATCCCTGTAAATAAACCTGCACCTGTATATACTCACCTGTGGAACCTCACCTTTTGGACCAACTCCTCCAAGACTCATCTCCTTCTCCAGCCCGTAAGCAACATCTTCAACTACTCACCTGTTAAAGACTCTTACCGGAAAATCTGCCCATTACTCACCTTTACAACAAAACTCTGTTTCAGGTCCCCTCCCCAAGATCCCTGCACCTGTGTAAATAAACCCACTTACCTTTTTTATCCATTGTCTCAGTCTCTGTTTGTTATTAGTATTTACTCACATTGACCTCCTCCTGCCAACCTGATAATAAGCAAGAATAACCAAATTTAAAATCTTGCACACATTAAACTGTGTAGGCAAAAAAATGCATATGCCATACAGTCATTGTATGTAATAATAGTTATTGAATAAAAATGTATCAAGGACTTTTGGCACCATGAGCAGTGCTACTTAATAGATCCACAAAAACCAGGTTAAAAACAGCAACATACTTTGGAGTTCTTAGGTTATGATCCAGATATATTACAGCTATAAC